CTTAGAAAAAACTTAATTCATAAATTGCAGATTCAGGCTACTTCCATATGTTTTAACAAAGAGCTTCAATTAGCGATCTGGAAATTTGTCAACTCACTTGCCTGAATTTTTACAAATGGTATATGTCAATCATTCAGATACAGTTTTTTCCTCTAAAAGTCAATAGTAGTTTAAAATGAACTGTAACTATACAGTTGCTAATATTTTGGGAAATATTGTTAGAAGAATGCAGGTTGTACAGTATCTTGAAAACTGTGTTTCATGCACTTTAGTGTACTCAAATTCTTTTACCTATAATCTCTCTTTACATAGAATGCCTCAGAACCATATTTCCTTCAGTGTAAATTGCTGTTAAACATATTTTCAGTTTTTTAATTGAATGGCAACTCTTTTGTTAAACTCTTTTTTCTGTTTGTTTGCTTTCTGTTTTCTTATGTTTGTTGAGACAGTGTCAATCTGTAATTCAGGCTGGCCATGAACTCACTATGTAGCCCAGGCTGGCCTCAAACTCAGGGCACTCCTTCTACCTCAGCTTCCCAAGTGCTGGGATGACAGGCATGTGTCACCACTCTCAGTTTAAACCTCTTGTTTGCCAGTAACCACAGGATTGATGTGTACCCTTCAGTGCCAGTCAAGGAAGACTCTCACAGTGGAGTCAAACGGCCTTCTTGCAGCTGTTCAGCTGTTACAGGCCTAAGATTGTTAGGGAACCTTTAAATGTCTTCTTTTTAGGTTGTCAGCAAGTACTGTTTTCCACAAAATTTGGAGGTACTGGAAATAGCTGAATTAAGAATGATTTCATTCGTTTCTTGTTTTTACACTCACTGAAATTCTGGTATCCTATTTAAAGTATGTACATACCCTGTCTGAAACTCCTATACTTCCCCAGTGAGGTCAGAGATGAGGGAGGAGGAAAAACCAAAGAAGGAAGGGGGAAAAATACTTATTTATACACACACACACACACACACACACACAAAGATAGCTAAGATAATTGTACTACTGATTTCTATTGATTTATTGAAAGGAACAGTTAATGCTAATTGTTTGATCAAATTTGCTTTCCTATATCCGGTAACCTGAGCAACTACTTTGAAGTTAACAATGTGCAATACAACAACCATTGTTTGTTTTGAAATTCTGTATTGTTTTTATTGTTTTCTTTTTAATTCTCTTTAAAATTAAAAAAAGATGTGGGTTGGGAGAGCAAAGTATTTTTAATGTAGACATTAGCCTTTTGTAAATATTACAGCTAAGGAGTACAAAGTAGAAAAAGTATACAGTAGTTAAAACATTTGTTCTATAAATTGTTAACCTTTAGAGGTATAATGGCTGCTAAACATAGAGTCATAGGCCATCAGCATTTAAAAGTTATGTTACTCATATTTGAATCTCAAACTGTCACATATTGACGTAAGCACTGTTGGGAACCACAGACTCACAACAGCTAATTCTGCACACTTCCCTAAGGGACAAATAAAGGTGTGTGACTATGGGTATCACCCTTCTGAGATTTCCCATTAGCTCTTTAGGCATGGGCCGTCCACCCTACCCACTAAGACTAAACTGAAACCACTAAAATTAAAAACACTCCAGGGCAAGATCCTTCTTAGCATCAGAGCACCTCCACCCTCTTGAGTCACCCAGGATGCCTGAGTCCTCGACCTCTGAATCTTCTGCCGACCTTGAATCTTCCACCAGCCTCTTTGTCTCTGCCCATCCTGAGGCACTGACCTCCCAGCCTCGCTCATGCATTACTAAATTTGTCTCTGTTTTTTATTTCATCCTTTCGCCAGACCCCTCATGCAAGAAACTGGGCATCTTGGCCAGGTCCCTGATAAAGCACCTTATATCTAAAAAAGAACACGCACATATAATGTATTTGAGATTAGAAACACCCGAAGTCATTGCTTTTGAACCTTATAAGGAATTTTAGTAAAAACAAAGTGATTTCAAAGTAAAAAATCACTTTAAATACTACATTTAAGCAAAGACTAGATCAACAATAAAATAATAGCAATTCATTTACTATATAGAAGCAAGCAAGCCTTTCAATATCAATTAAAACTATTGGCATTAGGAAGTATAAACAAATCCATTAACAGACCAGGTAACTCATAGCTATTAATGCTATAACAATAATTTTTTTAAAAACTTATGTTATTAGAATATTAAATTAGTGCTAAAAAATAGGTTGCACTTATATAAATAACTTAAAATCACAAACAAATATAACTTGCAATTTCTTTGAGACTTATTTTTAAGCTCATTTTAACTAGTTGACCTGTAGCTTGATAAAAATGTATTTTTAGGTATTTGATATTATATTAGTGCTATATATATATCAGACATATACATCAACAATCCACAAAATTTTTTTAATATTTAAATATATTATCATGTATAAATTATAAGCAAGGAATGTATGAATTTATATTTAGCAAATGTCTTTAGTATTTTAACTTAATTGTAAATAACTTAGAGGTTTTATTTATTTATGAAAATTTTAACAGTTTTATATTGCTTGTAAAATGAATACTATTTGACAAACAAAAGTTAATATCTTGAAAATCTTTTATTGAGAATAAATTTAAAAGTTGTCAATACGTCAAAATTCTATTTGCATGCATCATAACAATATTTAAATTTTTTGGAGTTTTTTGGGTGGCTTTTTAACTTGAATCTTTATATTGACCTCCAATGGAGTAATTTATTACCAAATTTTTATGAGACCAAAGGCAAACTATTTCACATAACAAGGATACCCATACTTGAATCTACTTCAAAGACTATAAAAGGAACTTTATTAATTTTGGACACTGAAAATGGAAAAGCTCAGAAAATCCATAAAGATCTAAGAAGTGTAGGGGAAACACTTATTTTGTCTTAGTACCTCCTAGCATCACCACTTCAGGGTGACAGAGCTGTTACCTATGTAAGTACATATGGACTCAGCTTTTCCAGGAAGCAAGGAAGTACAGTGTGGCTGGACAATGCTTATTTAGACATAAGTTGATGTGTGAGAAGAAACTGCCTATTTTTAATACAGACTTAGCAAGAAAGCCTTCATGTGGACTTTTATTAAGTAATGTCTAATGTCTAATAATGTCTAATTTTTTATTAAATAATATCTAATGAAGCATTTTCTAATGTCTAACAAAATATATCTATATTTTAAAATTGTTCCCATTTTCAAAATTGTAATAAATGATAAGGTTATTAACCCAACTAACTGCTGAGTGGAATAACCAAGTAGAAGCTGTCAGGTTCCATGAACCAGTCTTGGTTAAGACAGCAGTCCTGAGAACATCTAGAAGAAGCTAATCCTGAAATGTAGGTAGTTATGGCATGCAGATCACTGTAGAGGTTAGAAATAGCTAGACCTGGGCCTTTCCTTGCTAGTTATTAAAAAGCATGATTTTCATTTTGTTATCAGGGATTCAAAGGCCATTTGTGCTATAAACTAACTTTCAAGCTAATATCTTGCAAGATATTGTTGTAGTTTACTATAATCTCTATTTTTTAAACTAATGTCTAGCAAAAATTGGACCCCTAGTATGAATGAAGAAGCAGCTTTTATATTGACTATTGCCATATATCATTGTTTGAGAAGCTAAATAAGTTAAACTTTAAAATAAAAGAATGGTATATTTATATTATCTCAGTGTTTAACAGACTCTAGTTTTTAAGAGTCTTTAAGATCCTAACAACTCAAAAATTATATTTTTCATGCTTTTAATTTTTTCTTTTTTTTTTGAGACAGGTTTCCACTGTGTAATTCAGGTGGGCCTCAAATTTACTACATAGCCCAGGGTGGTCTTGAACTTGCAGTGATCCTCCTTCCTCAGCTTTCAGAGTGCTGACATTACAGAAGTGTACTTCCACATCTGGCAATTACTTTTTTAACTTTTGTGAAACTGAAAGTTTTTTTAAAGTTAAAGTATTTCAAATATGCCAGGCATGGTGGTGCACACTTGTAATCCCAGCTCTTGGGAGGCTGAGGCAGGAGGATTGCTGTGAGTTCATGTTCAGCCTAAACATAGTGAGTTCAGGGCCTACATAGTGAGTTCAGGGCCAGCCTGAACCACACAGTGAAACCCTGTCTTGAAACAAAACAAAAACAGCAAAACATTTCAAATATAAATTTGATTGGCTAATGCAGGGAAAATTTGTGTTAGCAGTTGAGGACACCTTTGTTATACCTTTTAAAAAAATTTTAAAAAGTCGTGGAAAAAATGATATTTGAGTTTATGTTTCTTTCATTATTGAGCACCATTTAAAAAACAATCTAGTACCATAACAATGTATAAATACATGTATACACATAGGCATAACATAGTATATACATTTATGCCTACACAATGAAACAAAGACCTAAAGTTCTAATTTATCAGCTTTTTAAAAATTATATTATTTTCATGATTTTTAATAGTCTTAAGCAAGATTTAATCTTTATATTGGAGATAGGATTGAGATTGTAACAATGTTGGAAATATATCTCTAAAAGGAGATTGCTTGCCTAGTTAAACTCAATTTGAATTTTTTGAAGCTTTTATTTTTTGCCTTCACTTAAAGATCTTAGTCAATTTATAACCTTTTTATTGTGCTAAAGTTTAATTATAGATAATCAGAATGTCTTATCTAATATGATATAGATAAGACAGATGTCTGATATAGATAATCAGATGTCTTATCTAATATGAAAAACAAACCAGTTATAAACAATATTCTTGCTGGGTATGGTGGTACACACCTGTAATTCCAGCACTTGGGAGGCTGAGGTAGGAGGATCACAGTGAGTTTGAGGCCAGCCTAGGCTACAAAGTGAGTTCCAGGCAAGCCTGAACTGCATAGTGAAATCTTGTCTCCAAAAGAGAAAAACAAAACAAAACAATATTCTCCACAAAGAAAAATGAAAAGGTTAAACCTTTATATCTTAGCCAATCTTATTTAATGAATCTTCTTAAGGACAGCCTCATGAAATCAGAGTGTGCTTTCAGTTATACATGTCACGGTGTATCACAATAAAATCACCATTTTAAAGTTACAGGTAACTAAGACTTTATTAGGGAGCTTCAGAACAGCACAAGGATTTTCACTTTTGAGTAGTTCATAACAGAGCTTTTTAAACACTAGCAGTTTTAAATTTTTTTCTTCAATTTTAAAAGCGTTTTTCTTGTTGACAAGTGGTTCAAGAACCGTGAACTCTGTACTGGCTCACAAAGAAGCCTCAGAATGACTTGAAGCCCAAATAGTTTACACAACTTTAGATGATACTGAATGAACGTCTGCTGCTCATCCTAGAATAAAGGTGATTATAGGAAGAGAAAGGTTAAAGAAAATGTATCAAAGCAGACCTAAATAAAGGACTATTCTAAACCAAACCAAACCAAAACAAATGGCTGGAAATTTTCTTACTTCTTAATCTCTTCTCACAGCAATCAGTGCCCCAAAATGACAGGTCTGAATGACAGTGCCCCTGCAACAGGTCTGAATGGCCTAACTAGGGAAGGTCCTTACCTCACCAAAATGGCACTGATAAATGACCTAACAGAGGTTCAGACTGTGGAGAGAGTACATCCTTGGAGTGCATTTCCAGTGAGAAAACAGGCAGAGCCCATGAGCTCCAAGTCAGATGGAACTTGGAACTTGGAAGTTTACCAGATCAGAGCTCCCCAAATCATTTTCCTTGAATAAACAAAAGCAGTTGTAGGCAGTGGACGCAGCAGATGGGAAAAAAGAGAAAGTTTTCAGGGTACAGAGGTGTTCTTGGCAGCTGCTGAAATGTCCCTGTGATAGGGCAAAAGAGACATAGATTTTCTTTTTAGAACTCCCTGTTAGAAGTCACTTAAACTCACTTAAACTTTAGATGAACTCACTCCTCAACCCCTCCCCTTGTAGCTAACCACAAACCCACAAAGAAAGAACAAGTCCTTAAATAAAGGAACAAGCAGTTAGAACAAATCATTGGGTAAGCTAACCTTTAACCGCCATTCTTTTTGACTAATACAACTTCTGGGAAATGTGAACCTCGTGACAATTTTGTGGCATTCTTGTTAAATTCCAAAATGAAGTAATGTAGTTGGCATGGTTACCCACAAAAGTATAAAAACTCATCACAAAGCCTGTCAAGGTCAACATTTCCTGACTGTGTGTCAGTTTGTCAGCCTCTGGTTAAATAAACCTTTGTTTGTTCCTATGCTTGGTCTTGTGTGAGTGTTCATCTCGCTGATTTGCTGCCACACCTGGAGTCCCAAAAGCAGGTTCAGCTAGCCACAAGGAGGCAGCTCCTTTTCCTAAGGCATGGCCCTCAGGAGCATGGACTAAAGTCCCTTCACAGTTGCCAAGACTGTTACCAGCCACTTAGGCTCACAGGCTCAGGTTTCTCTGTTTCTCAGTGACCAAACCATAGGGGGCATGTATTTGGGTAAAAGGGATTTATGTAAAGCCACCTCCAAGGAGATGGAGGGAGCCACTTGCCTCAAATCACCATCTCCCTGCTTACGGGTGGACAAGGGTCTTTCATAGTAAGGCATGGGGGGGACTGAGAAAGAACACCTTCATAGTAAGGCGTGGGGAGGACTGAGAGAGAACACCTTCAGGTGCACTTGTTCTGCCACTTTCAGCCATCTTTTTTAGCTCTTCTGTGTATTTCATCACTTTTTTTAGGCTGAGGGGTGGAGGGGGAAGCTGTTTATACCCTAAGCTTCAAAGCCAGGTGTCCTTAAAGGAAAAAAAATTTTTTTCAGTACTGGTTACAAATCTATATTCAGTTTTTTACAGAAATGCCAGAGTGTCTCACACAGAGCATGTACCATGTGTATTGGTTCCGATTTCTCTGCATCCTTACCAACACTCATTCCCTTACGTAACGCTGATGACAGGTGCTGCAGTGGGAGTGAGGGAAATCCCACTGTGTTTGTAGTTCGTACTTCTTTAGTGGCCGAGATGTGGAGCATCCCATTCTCAGTTTGTGTCGGGGGTGGTGGAGGGAGTCACGCGACATTCCTGCGTTCTGTCTCAGTTGTCAATTCTCACTGTCAACATTTAGTGAGATTGTAACTGGCACTGCTAAAGGAAACGTAAGTTAGATTTTTTTTTTCCCCAAAATTTCTCCAAAACAGGCAAAACACCTATGCCCACCCCTTCTCAGCCCTATTGAATGGGTAAAATATGCAGATGTGGGCATCCAAGTTCAACTCCAACTTTATACCCCTATGCAAGGGAGGGAGAGGCTAGGTCCTGGGAAGGATAGAAGAAGCTTGAACTTGTCTATTGTTCCACTGTATTTCCCTCCTTCCTGTTCCTTGATATGAAAGAGCCCAGCAACTGTATGAGGAGTGAGAAGGTGATTTGAGGAAAATGCCCCATCTCCTTGGAGTTAGCGTTGGGTAAATATTTTTGTTTTTAACAAAATAAATGGCCTCCTGTCATTTGTTCGGTGGTGAGCAAATGAACCTGAGCTTGTGAACCTAAGTGGCCAGGAACAAGACGACGGCTCTCTGGACCACAGTCACTGAGATAAGAGATGAAATGCCACATCCCGCCAGCGGGTTCCCTCATCTCTGTCTGCAGCAGCTGGGTCTGCTTAGAGCACTCCTCACCGCTACTCATGCCATGCAGACATTAATAGTCCATTGTCCTGAGCGGCTGCTGTGGATCAACAAACTCTCATTTTTTTCAGCTGTCTGCTCAGAGCTCTATCATCACAAGTCAAGCTTCAGGACATTCTGCAGTGAAGGGCAGTGCAGGCCCACGGACACCATTTTGACCTCAACACCAACTGCCTCATCTTCTCCTTGAGCTGGACATGGAGCCTCTGAGCCAAGGCCACTCAGGTGAATGTATGCTACTTTATGTGGCCCAACGCCATGTCTGCTGTACCCCCATGCCTGTGGGATCCATGGCCCCTGCAGAGCTCCCTGCTGGATTTCTGGATTTGCTGATTCAATTAAAATCACGTGAGGCTTCCCCACCCCAGGCTTACCCTTGGGCTTATCCTCACTGGTCCCCAGGTCCTCCAGCTGGGGCAGGAATCTATTCAGTTGCAGAGTGAAGTGTGAGTCCAGCATGCTGATCAGGAGGCAGCACAGAGCTGGTTAGTCTGGCTAGGTCTGGGCATGGGTGAAAGTCTTCCGGGTAGTGCCCAACCCACATGCAGCTGGGCACTGAGGGCAAATAGATGAGGCTCATGTGAGCAGTGTGCTCCCCACACCTCTTATGCAGGCTTCAAACATGATCATATGGGCATGTCTGACTGGGATGGTCTATGGTGGAGGGTCTGTCTTCACAGGGACCTGCTCTGAGCCCCCAGCTACTCCTGTGCTTCCTGGTTGCCTGTCTTCCTCCTGCAGGCAAATCCTTAGCCCCAATCCCTCTACTAGCATTTCAACAACACGCTGGGATATGGGATTTTCCTAGCCTACCTCAAACTCAGTTCCTCAAATGTCCCCCACTCTGGAGACAGGCGCCTTCTGTCATGGCCCTAAGCCCACTCACTTCCTGATTTAGTGGTCCTCCTTTCACCTGGTGGAGCAATCCACACCTCGAGGAGGTCAGGAGAGGGTGGCCTCTTAGCATCCCCTTTTAGTGTCCCCACCTGCCAGGCAGTGTAGGGCACTATCTCCTTCCCTGATGAGAACGGAGGTAAGGGGGGAGGTGAGAGGTTTCTCCTTCAATGGAAACGTGGCTGCACATGATAGGTGCTTCACATACATGTATTCAGTGAATGAACCCTGCCCTCTCCTACCCAGGTATCTCAGTGGGACCAGGGCCTCTCATTCTACTCTGAGGGGGTCCCCACTCTAACTACATCTATGTAGGGAACTCCAGATTTGGACTCAGAACTTCATTGAAAAATGGAGAAAGTTCATTGCCTGAGGACTCAGTTAAGTGAGGCCACAGGTAGGGAGCTTCTTCATAGTGGAGGGGAAGTTCCACAGCTCTGGGTCACTGACCTGACAGCACCTGGCCTAGGGCAGGTGTTCTGAGCCTCTGCCCTCTTGGTCCAAACTGCATCCTTTGATGGAGATCCTCAGATTACCCAGCTTTCACAGAGCAAATTGGGACACAGAGAGTTGCAGAACATTCCAAGTGTCCACCAGGAAGTAGCACTCCCCCCCGCCAGGGTTTAGATGTAGAGCACACCTTAGGTCAGCAATTTCAGCACCCGACGTGTAGTGGCCAGCCTCTTATAGGTATACAGGAATGTGGCCATGAAGAAGGAGTCCTCACTCCAGTGGGCAGGCACAAGGTGGCTCACCAGATTCTACAGTGTGCCTGCCTTGATGGTCCCCACTGATGGGCTCATAGGAGCTTGAGACTGATTCATTTTCACCCTGTGGTGAGACTAGGGAGGGCTCAAGCATGGAGACAGTAGTGGCTGTGTCTGCTGTGCAACCACGAGCGCAAAGGTTCTTGTCTGTGGCCTGAGGGCTGGGTCTGCTGAGAACTCAGCAGAGGAAGGGCTTCATGCAGAAGGTGTCATTCATAGTAACCACTGTTCCCACGAGACACCCGAGGCACGAGTCCCCTAAGACAATGTCCACACTGAGGGCTGGAGCAAGTGAGGAGATTTGCATACTGTGGCCTGCAGTGCCAATGTGCTGTCTACACAGTGGCCTCTGATACTAGTGTCAAACCAACAGAGGAGCCTATGCTCTCTAAACACTGGACCCTTAATATATACCCCCTAATACACAGTGATGCCTAATACTAATTTTATATCCACAGAATAGCCTGAGTACTAATCTCATATCCACAGAGCAGTGTCTCATACTGTTAATATCCATGTGGTAGTGTCCAGTACTAATTTCATAGCCACAGAGCAACCTCTGATACTTACTTAATATCCACAGAATGGCCTCTAATAATTCAGTATCCACAGTCTGCACTTTAATACTAATTTAGTGTACACAGAATGGCCTCTAGTACTTATTTAATAACTTATTTAATATCCAAATGATGACATCTAATACTGATTTTATATCCACAGAGCAGCCTCTTGTACCAGTATTCACAGAATGGCCTTTAACAGTAATATCCAGAGTGGCCTCAAACCCTTCTTATCCACACAGCAGCCTCTGATTCTTGTTTAATACCCACAGAGCAGCACGTAACACTTGCCCAATGTTCACAGTGTTGTCCGCTACTAATTTCATATCCCTGGAGAGGAATGTGGAACTGGGGCTTCTACTGCAGAAAGCAGCACTGACCAAGAGAAGGGAAGCCGCTCTGATGACAGAACAAATGGAGCGGGAGTTTGCATGGGTTTACTAGGATGGGATTATGTACTGTAATTTATGGTGGCCCAGGGAACAGTTTCAGAGGGTGCGTCTTCCTTTGTGAGGCATGGGCTGCTATGTGGTCAGGGTCAGCTCACCCTCCAGGCTGTTGGAATTTTGTGTGGCTGTTGGCACCGTGTTGTGCAAAATCTTTCACCCTTGTGGGTCTGGGCCCTATGGTAGAACCCAAAGGCTTTAGGTGCTTGGACTGCTGAGGGGTTGCATAAAAGTGGGGGCAAAAAGATGGAAGAGAGAATGAAAGCGCATGCTATTTTCAGTGAGAGCTAGGCAAAGCTAGCCCTGCGTTATAATCTTGGCCAGAACCTTCTTTGTGGTTGCTTTCATTGTTACACACTTATGATTCATAATAATTGCATTTATGCACATGTACGTATTGTACCCTCATCATTTTTACTTTACATTTTCCTCACCACCCCAGGTCCCCTTCCATCTCCACAGAATCTGCTTCCTTTTTCCACTTCATCTCTCCTTTATGTTTCTCTTTAAATTATATAGATGTTTACATTTCCCTATAAAGGAAACTATTCAATATTTAACCCTTTGTGTCTATTTTTCCACCAATGAATTAAATTTATCTCTTTTTTTGAGACAGGATCTCAGTAGATGTAATAGTTCAGCCTTGCCTTGAACTCACTATGAAGACCAGGCAGACTTCCATCTCACAGTAATCTTCCTGCCTCAGCCTCCTAAGTGAAATTTATCTCTTTGTGTTGAGTAGTACTCTATTTTCTATATATACACCAAATTTTCTTTATCTATTTATCTCATGATAGGTATGTAGGTAGTTTCCAAAATTTAGGTATGATTTGTGCTTCTATAAACTGGGGATGCGTTCATCTTTGTTTCATGTCCTTACATTTTTTATGAAGATACCCAGAAGAGCTATACCTGAGTCAAGTGGTTTTAGTTATTTGGAGGAATCTCCAGAGTGGTTGTACTAGTTTTCATTCCAGTCAACATTGAGGATAATTCCCTTTGCCCAAGGTCTTTTTTGAGTTCTTGATGATAGCATGCTTACTGAAAGAAGCTCAAATTTAAGAGGGTTTTGATTTGTATTTTAGACCTGATTCTCCCAGCCCCCAACCTATTTGCCAGAAGAAGCATATTCTGCACAGGGTACTCAGCTCAGCACCAACTCTATCATCAGCAAGCAGAGGATGTCATAAAGGAGATAAGTTAGGATACGGAATTTTGCAGGGACGTCTGGAGCCACCCAAAAATTTACACCAGCCACTTCAAGGATTGTGGCCACTGAGATGCAAGGCTGCGGGAGAATTTAACCACAGACGTTTATGAAAATCTTCCTGCCTAATGCCCCTGCCTTCTTTCCATCCCTATAAAAGGGACCCATTTCCCTTTGTTCCAGATAGTCATTTTGCATTTTGTCTGCTTGCACCCAAGCACAATAAGCTCCATGTATGCTGCTTTTACACAAGCCTGCTGGTCTTGGCTGGCACCCCTCGCCTTTGTGTTACATTTACACTTGGAGCTTTCCCCTATTTCAGTATTCCTTTCAGATAAGTTAATGTCCTAATTCAATCAGCACTGCTTTCTTTTAAAAGCGAAGTCAACAAACAGTCCAAGGAGAATAACTATCACATCAGAGGTGGCAACAAATCTCCACTTCCTTTGTAACCCCATCCACATGTACTTGCACATGCCCCAAAGTAACAACTTTGACAATGTGCAGATGATCTGGAAAACAGGACTTCAGGCCAGCCTTCAGTAGCCCTTATCTCTGAATGTATGTTATGGACTTGATGCTTTGCTTCCCAGATATCTAAAAACTTCAGGACAATCAGCACTTACCCTGAGACAAAATGGTTCTGGGATTCAGGGACTTTATCTTTTCCCGTTGCACATGTGCTGCATAGTCTGTAAGTTCCCCATGATCCCCTGAAGTCACCAGAGCATGGCAAGACACAGAGCTGCAAGTGTAGCGCTGACAGGATAGAGTTTTGCATGAGACTGAAGTTGGAACAGGAACAGGATAGGATTCTGGGGTTCTGCTGGAGACCAGCCTCATTGCCCTGCCCAGAAGGAACTGAGGAAAAAGAAACAGAGAGGACGGGTTATAGGCCTTGAAGATTTCATGGGGAGGCCCTGGGTTCCACAGATCCAAACTAGTTCATCTGTATCCACCTCAGTGCACCCAGGCCCACACTTGCATTTCTGGTTTCTAGGCTGTTTCTGTGTTTATGTAACTCCTGCAGGCCAAACAAGTCATATAGCAAGGAAGTCTGAGAATCTTGTGCTCTTTCTCAGCAGGTGACACTGGGTCTAAAGTAGGGCAGTAAAAAGTAAAGAAAGGCTACACATTATGGATTGTCCTGATATCCCTCTTCTGCTCTCCTATGTGTAGCTCATAATGTTCACCTGAATCTCTCAATGGCTGGTGATCAAAGGCCCATCTTCTGAAATCTGAGGGACAGGAGAAGAGAACTGATATCTACATGTAGTAAACAAAGGAACAGAGCCCTTCCTTGCCCAAAGTTACTCCCAGAGTGCTGAAATGATCCTTCTAGGGATTATTGCTTTTAAGCTGAACTTGCTTCTGAATTTCCAGGCCAGATGCCTGTTTTCTATTTATTTAGCGGACCTTTCCTGCTTCTTTCTCCTAGAAATAGGGCAATAAGTATGCTCAGGTTATTCTAGACTATGTCCTGACCTCAGAGAGGGAGGGCTGCCTTGAGTAGGTCAGGCCTCGTACCAGAGGACAGACTGTGGGAGGTGACCGTTGAGCATTGTGAGATGAGGCAGTTAGATTCATTGCCATGGCTTCCTCACACTTTATCCATCACCTAGGCCTATTTTACTTTTTCTGCATTGGGTACTGGTC